AAAAAAACTAAAATCATATATATTAAATAAAAACACAATCAAAGGTTTAAACCTTCCAAAGAAAACTATAGAAACATTATGTTATGAAATAAGAAAAAATAGTTCAATAAACTTGAAAGCTCCCCAACAAGATAAACTCGCCGCTTTACTCATCACTAGAACATTGTAGAATCATCTGCTCCCGTATAATAACACGAGTTATATGTTCATCGCTCAAACATAAACAAGCAAGAGTGAGCTAACAGGAATAAACATCAAAATAACTATATATCATAATAACACAATTATCAAGTAAATTTTATAATCCTTGATTACTCTCCACTTTTTCATCTTTTTCTTTTGTAAAAATCCCTTTTAAGTCTCTTTTAGTTTCTAAGTCTTTAGAATTAGATTAGATTTTTTTGGATGTAAAAATAGAAGATTTATAAAAGTGTAGTTAATTTGGTATTTTTAAAGGCTGATGTCTAAGTTTCCAAATAGGGCCCTTTTGAAAATAAAGTCAAGATAAATCTCGCTAATTGATTGACATAAAGACATAATTTGGTTATCCAATTTTACAAAGATTGAGCTATTTAAAAAAAACTAATTTATAAAATAAAACCGCAACATAATGGTGCTTTAGTTCTCCTCCATTTGGGCCATAATGCAATTCACCATCTTAGCCTTTTCTCCTTGACATTTGGACTATTCAATTAATATGGACAACACTTGTTGAAGAGCTTCCTTTTCTTCCTTTGATCTTGGTCACGCCCTCGTCACATACAAATAGAGACACAAAGATAGACAGACACACAAACACAAACACACAGACATAGACACACACATAAACACACAAACACAGACATAGACACACATATAAACACACACCCACTCACACACAAACACGCAAACACAAATACACATACACACACACACACATACAGACACAAATAGTCGTACAAACACAGATAGTCGTATAGACACACACACGCACACGCACACAGACACAAATACAAATGCATACACACATACTTACACATACACACACACATGTACAAAGACACATATACACAAACACACAAATACACACACATGCATACAAACACAAACACACACATACACACATAGAGACACATACATACACAAAGAAATAAACACAAACATAGATACACATAAACACTGAAACATACACAAACATAGACACAAAAACACACACACACACAAACAAACACACATAAGCACACACACACACAAACACAAACACACCACAAGTACACACACAGACACAAAAACAAACAAAAACACAGACACACGCACACACATAAACACACAAACGCACAAACACACACACACACACGGACACATACACAAACACATACACACATAAACACACACACACACACAAACACACACATAAACACACACATACACACCCACACACCTACACACAGACACACACAGTGCAATACGATGTTAAGTTAAATATATGTACATATTGTTTGATCATAATTATGCTTTGTCAAACATAAACTATATTATTTATTAGACGAAACACACACATGTGTAGTACGATGTTAACTTAAATATATGCACATTGTTTGATCATAATTATGCTTTGCCAAACATAAATTATATTATTTATTAGACGAAACACTTACATCTTACATTATTTGTTATTGAAACAAATTTTATTGTTTTATAGATGAAGCATAACCATATTCTATGCTTAATTATTTTTAACACTTAATCAAAATCACAATGTATATTTAACTTTTGCTTTACCACTAACCCTAATATGCATTCACACTAAAATTAGTTAAAAAATTTAAACTCCATCCATCTAAAACCTTCAACGCTTTTGCATGTATAAACTTGGTGGAAGAGAAAAAATGTTTAATAAGAAAAACAAAAGCCTTACTTCAAAAGAAAACTCAATTTGTTGTTTCACACTAAAGAAGTTAACTCGAAAATAAAAGATGAGAAAAATAGAAGGTTGATAAGTTTTGAAGGAAAATGAATATTTGATAACGAGGAATGAAGAAAAAAAAACAAGAGAAAAAGAAGATATGTTAAATTTCATTTTCCTCTTTAGTAAGGTTAATGGAAATATTGAATCTTTTTAAGGATATCTCTTTTAGTTACTAAAATTATTCTCCCTGTGAACTTATATTCTAGTCTATTTTTATCAATGAAACAAAACTTTGACACCAAATAAAATACATCATGAAAACATAAGCTATTCCTTCCAATAATTGGTTAACATTATTTGTGTTCGTTTAAAACCAAAACCCATGTAAAATGTTATATTTTCTTAAATAAGAAAACAACTCGAAAGATTAAAAAAACAAGAGTTAGTTAGTCAAAATATTTTATTGACTTGATGTTTTTTTTTGCATAATCATGATTTTTTTTAATTTCACATTATTTATTAGAGTTGACTTGTGAAATTCAACTTGTTAGGATAATAAATACTTTTGCTCTAAGTTTTAGGCTTAATTGGTGGCACATATTTTACCTTTTAATTCATATATTAACAAATATTTATTTTAATTGTTACCCATGCCATTTTAATTCTTATAATATGATTTTAAATTTGTTAATCCATAACATGTAACTTTATAAGAATTAAAACAGATTAAAAATACCACATAAATAAAGACTAAAATTAATAATTTTAAATATAAAAGTTAAACGTAAATTTTATGACACCATATACTAATTAAACCTAAAATTTAGCAGATGGTCATTTTATAAAAAAAGTATTGTTATTTTTTTTTCGAATATTAAAAATTTCAATTAGGTGCTCTTATTTTTTGTTATAAAAATATTTGTAATTTTCTAAATTAAATATTCTTTAGTTTCCATCATTCTGTTTTTAATTTTATAAAATTATTTGGATATTTAAACTTTTTGGAACATTTTTAGCTTTATTAAAAAAACAATGTTAAAAGATAATGTGATAGTCCATTTTGAAGTCTTAAGTTAACTAGAGACCCTAGTATATATAAATGGAAGTAAAACATTATCTCACAAAGTAAAGTTTTACGAGTTAAGCTTAAAATTCTTAACCATGTATTTTACTAAATTTATAATTTTTTTAATTTATTGTTTCACCCGCTGATATACAAATTAATATACAAATGACTATAAAGCTTATATTGTAAAGTAGTTTTGTGGAGTTAAAACTTAAAATATTTTTTAACAAATTTAGGAAAGAAAATAATAAAAATAAACTTTTGTAACGAAAATTAAAATGTTTGAATTCTAAGAACTAAACTAATTTTGGGGGAAACTAATAAAATCAAATTATACAAATTATCGATTAAAAAGTTACTTAAATAAAATTAAAATAAAAAGTAGAAAATTAAAATCCTCAATTCACTTCCTCATTCCACACCCTTTGTTTTATTTTCCCTTCCTCCTTATCTTTTGTTTCCACCATTCCAACCACATGATGCAAGCCAATTCATGACCTAAATTGAATGAAGATAAATTGCGAAAAAAAAAAAACAAAAACCAGTAGATGTCTTTTGATAGTGTGATTCACATTGGGCTTTGCCTTTGCCTATGTTGTATTTTTCTATTATTTTTCTCTATAAAACAAAAAATTTATTTTCATTTATAATTGTATATAATCAACTATATATTGCTCTTAAATAATTTTTACTAAACCAGCAAAATTATTTTAAAATTATACTTTAAAATGTACTTTTAAATTATAGTCATGAAGTAGTGCAATATTCAAACTTAGCTATATTTTTATTTAAGTATATTAACTATGCAAAATTCAATTTTCCCCCAAAATCTAATTAGTAATTAAATATTCTACCTTTTTCTTTTCTGAATATATTCAACTTTTTTTCGTCACCCTGAGGAGGAGAGAGTGGGGGACGAAGAAGCTACAGCAGAAAGGGAAGCTCCTTCGATCTGCAATCTATAGCTATTGCGCTTTCTGTTTCAGAGAATTTTGTTTCTCTCTCGTTCTCTCTCACTGTGATTCCACCATTTCGCCATCATGATTTCTGCAACTAAGCTCAAATCCGTTGATTTTTACAGGTCGGAATTTCTCTCCGTTATTCCTATCGGTTTCAATTTGCTTGCGAATGTGCAGAATAGGTTTTTTCTGTTACAGATTTAGTTGGATTTTGTTGTGCTCATTGTTAAGTTCTTTGTATAACGGTTCAAACCGAAGTCCACACTGTAAGAAAACACGGAGACTGATATCTTTCGGTGTCTGTCTGCAAGAAGACTTGTCCATTGCCTAGATTCGAGGCTTCTTGTGTAATTGGAAGTGTTTTGGTGTAAATCTTTTTATTAGTTTTGTGGTTATGGATGTTACCGCTTGCGATGTAAATTTTACGAGTAATTTGTGAATGCAGGTTCCCTCTTTTTTTCTTTTGCTTCTTGAAATTAGGAATGATTTCTTTATGTTATTGATGTTGACTTGTGTCAACAGAAAAATCCCGAGAGATTTGACTGAGGCATCGTTATCGGGAGCGGGACTATCCATATTGGCAGCTCTCTTCATGATGTTTTTGTTTGGAATGGTCAGTGACTGAAATCTCCATCATGTTTATGACTTGTGAATTGTTGAACAAAATGTTGTAGTTTAGATTGATGTTAGGTCCCATACTGCTTTACTATTAGACCTCTAATTATGAACATCTTATTTATAGTTTTGTTAAATTTTTAAGAATTGGATGTTCAAATTTAATATTGATATTTCACTTGCATCCTTGTTTCAGGAACTAAGTAATTATTTGACTGTTAGCACCTCCACATCTGTGATTGTTGACAAGAGTTCTGATCATGACTATTTACGTATCGATTTCAATATCAGGTAGAATACTATCCAGGCATTTGCTGTCCGTGGTTGAATAGGATGTTTTTCAAAGATGGTGAATGCTCATGTCTTAACTATTGTTGAATATTACGTATAAACTGGTGGGTTTGAGGTTTTTGTTGAGTCTTGATAAGAACTTGTCATGTTACAAGGAATGCGAGCTTCAATCTACTTCTATTTGCAAATTGAGGCTGGTTAGGGGTTGATACGTTGTTTACTGTCTATTGGTTAATTATTAAACAAAACGGTTTAAAGTTTGACTAGAATCTTGAAATTCACTTATGTAGGGTTCGGATAGAGCATTTAAATTCCAAGGAATTTACAATGCTTGGAAATTTAATTTCTTTAGCTTAATTTTTTTCATTTTCAATTTTTTATTAAAGCATTTTAAATTTCTTGCATTTGAAATTCTTTGTTTGTGTAAAGTAATTTAATTTCTATTGTATGTAGAATTTCATTTTAAAATTTTTATTTATAAAAATGCATAACAAAGATAGATAGGGAAATAGAAGCAGAGGTGCAAAAGAGTGAGAGTGAGAGGCAGGTGTGAAAGAGAGAGGAGTAGAAAAGAGGGAGAGAGAGAAACTCAAACAAAAGCAACATAGGCGAAGAGGTGCAAGAGAGAGAGTACTCACCAAAGCTTCGGATGAGAGAGNCATCAAGTCAATAAAATATTTTGACTACTAACTCTTGTTTTTTTAATCTTTCGAGTTGTTTTCTTATTTAAGAAAATATAACATTTTACATGGTTTTGGTTTTAAACGAACACAAATAATGTTAACCAATTATTGGAAGGAATAGCTTATGTTTTCATGATGTATTTTATTTGGTGTCAAAGTTTTGTTTCATTGATAAAAGAAATAGACTAGAATATAAGTTCACAGGGAGAATAATTTTAGTAACTAAAAGAGATATCCTTAAAAAGATTCAATATTTCCATTAACCTTACTAAAGAGGAAAATGAAATTTAACATATCTTCTTTTTCTCTTGTTTTTTTTTCTTCATTCCTCGTTATCAAATATTCATTTTCCTTCAAAACTTATCAACCTTCTATTTTTCTCATCTTTTATTTTCGAGTTAACTCTTATTTTTTTTTGCATAATCATGATTTTTTTTAATTTCACATTATTTATTAGAGTTGACTTGTGAAATTCAACTTGTTAGGATAATAAATACTTTTGCTCTAAGTTTTAGGCTTAATTGGTGGCACATATTTTACCTTTTAATTCATATATTAACAAATATTTTTTTTAATTGTTACCCATGCCATTTTAATTCTTATAATATGATTTTAAATTTGTTAATCCATAACATGTAACTTTATAAGAATTAAAACAGATTAAAAATACCACATAAATAAAGACTAAAATTAATAATTTTAAATATAAAAGTTAAACGTAAATTTTATGACACCATATACTAATTAAACCTAAAATTTAGCAGATGGTCATTTTATAAAAAAAGTATTGTTATTTTTTTTTCGAATATTAAAAATTTCAATTAGGTGCTCTTATTTTTTGTTATAAAAATATTTGTAATTTTCTAAATTAAATATTCTTTAGTTTCCATCATTCTGTTTTTAATTTTATAAAATTATTTGGATATTTAAACTTTTTGGAACATTTTTAGCTTTATTAAAAAAACAATGTTAAAAGATAATGTGATAGTCCATTTTGAAGTCTTAAGTTAACTAGAGACCCTAGTATATATAAATGGAAGTAAAACATTATCTCACAAAGTAAAGTTTTACGAGTTAAGCTTAAAATTCTTAACCATGTATTTTACTAAATTTATAATTTTTTTAATTTATTGTTTCACCCGCTGATATACAAATTAATATACAAATGACTATAAAGCTTATATTGTAAAGTAGTTTTGTGGAGTTAAAACTTAAAATATTTTTTAACAAATTTAGGAAAGAAAATAATAAAAATAAACTTTTGTAACGAAAATTAAAATGTTTGAATTCTAAGAACTAAACTAATTTTGGGGGAAACTAATAAAATCAAATTATACAAATTATCGATTAAAAAGTTACTTAAATAAAATTAAAATAAAAAGTAGAAAATTAAAATCCTCAATTCACTTCCTCATTCCACACCCTTTGTTTTATTTTCCCTTCCTCCTTATCTTTTGTTTCCACCATTCCAACCACATGATGCAAGCCAATTCATGACCTAAATTGAATGAAGATAAATTGCGAAAAAAAAAAAACAAAAACCAGTAGATGTCTTTTGATAGTGTGATTCACATTGGGCTTTGCCTTTGCCTATGTTGTATTTTTCTATTATTTTTCTCTATAAAACAAAAAATTTATTTTCATTTATAATTGTATATAATCAACTATATATTGCTCTTAAATAATTTTTACTAAACCAGCAAAATTATTTTAAAATTATACTTTAAAATGTACTTTTAAATTATAGTCATGAAGTAGTGCAATATTCAAACTTAGCTATATTTTTATTTAAGTATATTAACTATGCAAAATTCAATTTTCCCCCAAAATCTAATTAGTAATTAAATATTCTACCTTTTTCTTTTCTGAATATATTCAACTTTTTTTCGTCACCCTGAGGAGGAGAGAGTGGGGGACGAAGAAGCTACAGCAGAAAGGGAAGCTCCTTCGATCTGCAATCTATAGCTATTGCGCTTTCTGTTTCAGAGAATTTTGTTTCTCTCTCGTTCTCTCTCACTGTGATTCCACCATTTCGCCATCATGATTTCTGCAACTAAGCTCAAATCCGTTGATTTTTACAGGTCGGAATTTCTCTCCGTTATTCCTATCGGTTTAAATTTGCTTGCGAATGTGCAGAATAGGTTTTTTATGTTACAGATTTAGTTGGATTTTGTTGTGCTCATTGTTAAGTTCTTTGTATAACGGTTCAAACCGAAGTCCACACTGTAAGAAAACACGGAGACTGATATCTTTCGGTGTCTGTCTGCAAGAAGACTTGTCCATTGCCTAGATTCGAGGCTTCTTGTGTAATTGGAAGTGTTTTGGTGTAAATCTTTTTATTAGTTTTGTGGTTATGGATGTTACCGCTTGCGATGTAAATTTTACGAGTAATTTGTGAATGCAGGTTCCCTCTTTTTTTCTTTTGCTTCTTGAAATTAGGAATGATTTCTTTATGTTATTGATGTTGACTTGTGTCAACAGAAAAATCCCGAGAGATTTGACTGAGGCATCGTTATCGGGAGCGGGACTATCCATATTGGCAGCTCTCTTCATGATGTTTTTGTTTGGAATGGTCAGTGACTGAAATCTCCATCATGTTTATGACTTGTGAATTGTTGAACAAAATGTTGTAGTTTAGATTGATGTTAGGTCCCATACTGCTTTACTATTAGACCTCTAATTATGAACATCTTATTTATAGTTTTGTTAAATTTTTAAGAATTGGATGTTCAAATTTAATATTGATATTTCACTTGCATCCTTGTTTCAGGAACTAAGTAATTATTTGACTGTTAGCACCTCCACATCTGTGATTGTTGACAAGAGTTCTGATCATGACTATTTACGTATCGATTTCAATATCAGGTAGAATACTATCCAGGCATTTGCTGTCCGTGGTTGAATAGGATGTTTTTCAAAGATGGTGAATGCTCATGTCTTAACTATTGTTGAATATTACGTATAAACTGGTGGGTTTGAGGTTTTTGTTGAGTCTTGATAAGAACTTGTCATGTTACAAGGAATGCGAGCTTCAATCTACTTCTATTTGCAAATTGAGGCTGGTTAGGGGTTGATACGTTGTTTACTGTCTATTGGTTAATTATTAAACAAAACGGTTTAAAGTTTGACTAGAATCTTGAAATTCACTTATGTAGGGTTCGGATAGAGCATTTAAATTCCAAGGAATTTACAATGCTTGGAAATTTAATTTCTTTAGCTTAATTTTTTTCATTTTCAATTTTTTATTAAAGCATTTTAAATTTCTTGCATTTGAAATTCTTTGTTTGTGTAAAGTAATTTAATTTCTATTGTATGTAGAATTTCATTTTAAAATTTTTATTTATAAAAATGCATAACAAAGATAGATAGGGAAATAGAAGCAGAGGTGCAAAAGAGTGAGAGGCAGGTGTGAAAGAGAGAGGAGTAGAAAAGAGGGAGAGAGAGAAACTCAAACAAAAGCAACATAGGCGAAGAGGTGCAAGAGAGAGAGTACTCACCAAAGCTTCGGATGAGAGAGTCGACAGTGAGACTGTAAAAGAGTAGGAATTTTCAAATTCTTTCATTTTTCAACTTAATATGAACGGCCTTCTTATTACTTTTAAACAAATCTCCTGTCAACTTACCATCATTTTAAAAATTCTTTGGATTTAAGATCCAAACGAATGTGAAAATTGAAATTCTCTCTTAAAACTCCACATCCAATAACCCTACTATAGAAGGAAGAGGGAAAAACTTTCCAATGAAACTGGGTGATTGTTGAAATTGAGAGTGGGATGGGGACCTTAGAAAATTATCATTAGAAGGCTAGGAGTAAATATCGGTATTTGTTGTATAGTAATTGCTTGTGAAATTGACATGTGGTCAAGGTGTTCCCCAAACATTGCGGTCATCTCTCACAGTTCATTGGTTTTTCTAAGAGCTTCTAGTCCTCCACAACACATTTGATACCATAGCAAGTCATAGTATTATCCTCAGTTCATTAAATCAATTTAATGACTATTTGTAAACTTTATCTTCCTCTTTCTCTGTTGCTGTTGGCTTATTGCTTCAACTTATTTTGTAGTTTTCCTGCACTCTCTTGTGAGTTTGCATCAGTTGATGTGAGTGATGTGCTGGGAACAGTAAGTCTCTGTTACTCTTTCTTCTTATGCATTTTATACTCACTTATGATATGATACCTCATCCATTCTTTTAAGTTTTAGTCCTTGTACTTAATATTTTACCTCTTGTTTTCAGAACAGGCTCAATATAACAAAAACAGTTCGGAAGTTTTCTATTGATTCAAATTTAAGACCCACTGGATCTGAGTTTCATTCAGGTACATTTGCAAATGCTGTAAAGCATGATGATGAAGTAGAAGGAGAATCTGTTGAAGGTTCATTAGCACTTACAACACATAATTTTGATAATTATGTTCATCAGTAAGTGGCCACTTCTGAGAATATTTCATTTGATTTTTCCTTGTTTTAGCCAAGTTCCTTGCAAAATGCATTATTTACTCTATGATTCATAATCCTTTTGCAGGTTCCCAATTACAGTTGTAAATTTTTATGCACCTTGGTGTTCCTGGTGTCAGCGTTTGGTAATAATTTTTATCATAATTCTGTATGGTAATAATTTTTATCATAATTCTGTATGGTAATAATTTTTTTATCATAATTCTGTTCCTCTTCATCAGGAAATAAGATTGGCACCTGTAACCTGATGTCTTTGTTGTTTCCTAAATAGACTGGATTCTGTTTCATCAATGTCTCATTCCTTAAAAGGGGAATTTCCCTCTCAGTACAAGCCACTAATTAGCAGTGGCAAAGGCTATTTCATCAGTTACACTTTAATAGTGACTAATGCAAAAATATGATTTATAATATTTAATAACATATTACGATGAGGGTGGTTGCATTTCACCCATACAAGATTGTTAGCCACGTGCTTTGATACAATGAGTGAATTATGTAGAAGTTCTTTCCTTTAATGAATGATGGCTGATTTATACTTTTTTAATATTTTTAGTGGATTAATAGATTTTAAACTTTACATGAATTTATCTTCTACTGGTTTCTTTCAGAAACCTGCATGGGAGAAAACAGCTAAACTTATGAAAGAGAGGTACTTTATTATTGATTCATTGTTTCTCACACTTCTTGAAATTACATTTTAGAAGATAGATTTTCCCCTCTCCTTTGTAGATTTAGACTTATTTTTTATCATAACTTCACTAATTCAATGTCCGATGTGTATTTGATTAATTAGAATTAACTTTAATAGGTATGACCCAGAAATCGATGGGCGCATTATTTTGGCAAAGGTGGATTGCACTCTAGAGGCAGATTTATGCAGGAGGTATTATTGCTAGTTTCTTTACTTTTCTGTTTCCCCCAAAAGATTGTGCTTCTTACCTACAATTGACATATTTTGCTTTTTTTTTTCAATATTTAAATCCATTACTTAATGAAATTTGGCTTTTGAATCATATATATAGACAATGTTGCCAAGTCATACTTGAAAAATAAGTTATTGTAAGAACTATGGAGGCTATGTTTGATTGGGGTGTAAGCTAGTTAGGGTTTCAGTCAGCATAGTGATGCAATAACATTCTTACATTTGATTAAAAAGCTATACAGACTATGCTTTTGATGAACTCGAGTGGAGAAAGAAAAATGGTGAATATATTTTTCTTAACTTTGGTAGAAAAGAAGGAAAAGAACATTCATGGAAAGAAAAAATGGGTTTTGGTATAATCCCTGTGCTTAATGTATGATTTGATTGTATTAAATAGAGAAATATGATATTTGATTACATCAATAGGGAAATATCTTAGTGAACATTTCTCATTATTAATTATTGATTTTATTCCTTATTACTGTATCTCTTATTGATTATAAACAAGAATAATTCATTATATGCCTTCTTGGTTTCTCTTTTCTCTTTTTTCTCAATTAAGTGAGAGTAGAAAATTTCTGTTTTTTCTCATTTTCACCGTATTAACAATTCTTCTTTTTTAATAAGAGTTTAAATTCTCAAATCAAAGAATAACCATACTGTAAAAGTTGTTCAATACCCAACATATTTTCATCTAGTTTTTTGACACATACTGTTAGGCATATAAATAATGAGGAAGAATGGAATATGTATTATAGAAGGAATGATAGGATATGGAAGGTTAATTGTAGAAGGAGAAATGAAAGTAAGTGGTGGAAAGGTAAGTGGATGCGGTGCTGTTGGTTGGGAGTTGGTCTGTATAATTAGACCAATCAGTTCCTTGGAGAGGAATTCTTTTGTATTGACAGTCTTTTGACTATGTGATAGAGGATATGCTGTGTGAAAGGAAGCTTTTCCTTTGTAAACTTTGGCTTATACAGCTAATAATAGTGAATAATTGAGTTTGGGAGTTTTTCTTCGTTCTTTTCAGTCTTGTTTTTCTCCTCACAGTTTGTTGTAAATCCATTTTTGTCTTTGCCTCCTTCAACACATTCTCCGTTGCCTAATTTAACTTTTGAGACAAATGAAGAATCCATGTTAAGAAAAACTTCTCAACCATTATATGATTGCTGCAGATTGTATCCAAATTGAGCACAAAATTATTTTTTCTTCATTATAGTTATTATTGTTTTTTGCCTTGGTTCGTTGTCTTGTTATTGAACATTTGCTATTCTGCACTGATACTTATTTTGCAATTCATTTGTATCTCTATCATTGTCCAGGAATCATATTCAAGGATATCCATCCATTCGAATCTTCCGTAGAGGAAGTGATGTCAGGTGATAAATCAATTGGTCAACCAGTGTTTGATGAAAAAATTCTACCTCTATTTCACTCTTTTGATTAACAGCCATTTTTCATCAACCAGTGTTTGATGAAAAATTTCGACCTCTATTTCTGTCTTTTGATTAACAGCCATTTACTTTATATGTTGCGTGTTATTTATGATTATTAATTCCATGTTATTAGCATTAATATCATTGTTATCCCTGCACAAACCCCAAAATATACAAGTCATGCATTTTTGGTTTTCTTCACCTTGGCTATTTTGGCAATAATGAACACTTGCTCTTGTGGCATCTGCTTATCCTTTTCAGGGTATTATATACTTAATTTTGTGGTTGTATTAAATTTTCTTAAGACCCTATTTTTAAAATTTGGCAAATTATGTCAACTTGTCTATTATCCTCATTTTTAAAATCCTCATTATTATTTTTCTATTCAAATTGACTATTTATGATGGAATTGGGATAAGAAATTATTTTAGAAGTTTAAAAGCTAGCAATTTAGTACAAACTTGGTTAAATTTCAAGGGTTTCGCTACAGTGTTTGGTTCTCCATTGTATTTAGAGGTCTTTCCATGGTAGTCAAAATTGCGATCCAAAGTGTAAGATTGTACGAGTTTTTACGATCTTTTTCTCCCTCTTCAATCTTTCTTTACTTAAAACTCGCGATTTTCACATAATGTGTTAGATTGCCGTTATACATCGCAACTCGTGTGGGAGCGGCGATTTTGGCGATGCAACTCCCAACGACGAGGGAGAAGCCAACAGAGCTCGTGATGGTGCTTCTCTCGTGGCCTTGTGTTGCAAACCCTCCTAGCGGTAAGGAAGAATAAGTGGATAGACCATGTGGCAACAATGAATATTCATAAAATAAACCCAAGTATATCTTGAATATTTATCAATGAAGGTAACAAAATATCTAAAACCAAAGGAGGAGAGACGACTAGGTCTCCATATATCAGAATGGATGATGGAAAAACTAGAATTACATATTGATTGAGACCTTTTAGGAAGAAAGATCTAACATGTTTTCCTAATTGACATGACTCATATTCTAAGGTCCGGAGACCACTAAGTTCAGGACACATCTTTTTTAATTTGGACAAATGAGGATGGTCAAGTCAATCATGTAGTAGTTTAGGATTAGGAGCAGCAACATAGGACACCCTTAGACGAGATCCAAAATGGTATAATCCGCCAGCTTCATATCCTTCTCCAATCTGTCTCCCCGAACCACGCTCCTGTATAACAAATGATTTGTGATCAAAGGTTATTAAACAATTTAACATTTTGGTCATTTGGCTTAGGGAAATTAAATTAAAAGGACAATTAGGAACAAAAAGAACAGAGTTGAGATTGAGGGAGGGAGACAAGGAAACATGACCGACTCCTTTGGAGGAAGCTATAGATCCATTTGCAAGGGTTATGAAAGGGTTATGAAATGAGGTTTTTCTCGAAAGGAAATAAATGAGAACAAAGAGGTATTACTAGAAATGTGATCAGAAGCACCTGAGTCAATTACCCATGAATTTTTACCTTCCATGGATTGAGAAACGCAGGCTGTTGATGTACTGGGAGATTAAGATGGTTGTTCCAAACTGTTAGACTTTAACCTTAAATACTCTTGATATTTATCCTCGGAGAACTTAGAAGTAGAAGTTTTAGTCTTCGAAGTAGAAGTTTCAGTCTTCGAAATATTGGCAGTTTTGGAAGGGAACCCATGTAAGGAGTAGCAATTCTCTTGAGTGTGACCCATCCTTTTATAGTATGTGCATTGAGGACGTCCCCGACCTCCTCGTCTTCCTCTTCTAGTGCCACGTCCTCCTCTTCCTCGTGTGGCAACCATGATAGATGGTTCCACTAGTTCATGCGCTTCCAGAGTTTGAGGTACCGGGACACGCAGAAGGCGAGTGGTCAATGTTTCCATGGAGGGGACCTCATGAATTGTCAGAAGTTGATCTCTGAGATGATTAAAATCTGGATGTAGGGCACGAAGGATGAACACCATGTAAAATTTGTCTAGTTTAATTTTGATATCCTCTAATGGGTCCGCTTCCAAAAACATGCTGAGTTCTTTGACAGCAGATTGGGCTTTAGCCATGAAGGACACCATATCACGGTCTACCATTTTCAGAGATGCAAGCTTGTTTGCAGTGTCATAGAGACGTTGAATATCGTTGACATAAATGCTTTGAGCTTTCGTCCAAAAGGAGTGACAAGTTTTGAAAGCCCTTAAAGATATAAGAAGTTTGGGTTCCACTGATTGCCATAACAGGGCACACAATTGGAAATCTGCTTGTTTCCACTGATCAACTTTTTTAGTAGGCACATGGCTTCCATCTTGCTCAAGGTGGTCATAATGCCCTTGGCCAAGGAACCACATTTCAATAGCAGCAGACCATGATAGATATTGTTTAGTCCTTATCAAACTTACGTTAGACGCTCTTATATCGTTTAAGCAGCTAAAGAGTAGCGTTTAGCACTTCTAATTATTTGTCCTAGACGATTAAGCATTATTTTGTTTAGACATATATGTTAAACTTCAAAACAAGGTTTGCTTAGACGATCTTATGTTAACAATATTTTGCTTCTTGGTTTTCCATGAGATAAGGTTTCTTTCGATAAGAATACAATACATTCAAAACATATACACTTCTATATGGTATCAATAGTTTAGGTTTTCGATCTGTTTTTTTTTT